ACAGCAACGTCATTACATAACAACATGGCCAGAGCCAAAAGTCATCATGTGTGTTTGTAGAGTCCACTAGTGCAATATTTTGTAATCAGGCAAGAAATTCAACATTTTCTGTTTAACCAAGACATCCCTTACTACGTTCAAAAAAAGCAATCCACACCCCAAGTTTTATTTTTTTAATTTGGATTTTAATACTATCGTTCCATTTATAACTAGAGACTCCGAGTGGTCTAATTCCTTCAGATTTCCAACCAGTACTATTTTGTATGAATTTCTAATCTTACCCACGCGTGTTTCATTTCTTTAGTGTAATGTTTATTTGAGGTTAATTTAATGGTGAATAGATAAACGTAGTTTAGAAGGTTGGTAAAATTGTTCCGAGAGTCCAGTGTTGTTCTTGTATGTAGACAGACGTGTGAGACTCTCAAGCAGACAAACCAGTGCCATTCGTTCTTTAACAAGAGGAACGCGGTGTGGAAATGTAAGTTCGTAGTTGTCAAATGCAACGTAAAATATATAAAAATAAAATCTTAAACGAAACGCATAAATGGGAGTCATAAGAAGCTCATAAAAGCAACTCAAGAACTGATCTAGTAAGTTCAGAAGCTGTTCCTCCAGTGTCCCGGCCGTAAACGTCTTCTCTTTTAAGTACAACTGGTCAGTTAGAAGCAATCTCGATAAAATTATCTGCTGGTAACGAGTTTTGTTTCGAAATACACGCGATTCAGCTTTAAAAAAGTAAATGTATCAGAAAAGAGACTCTTATTTTTGTTGTTATTATTATTATTATTATTTCAACATTTTCTGTTTAACCAAGACATCCCTTACTACGTTCAAAAAAGCCCTATATTAGACCCTGTTTTAAGTCAACTTAATCTAATCCACACCCCAAGTTTAATTTTTTTAATTTGGATTTTAATACTGTCGTTCGATTTATAACTAGATACTCCGAGTGGTCTAATTCCTTCAGATTTCCAACCAGTACTATTTTGTATGAATTTCTAATCTTACCCACGCGTGTTTCATTTCTTTAGTGTAATGTTTATTTGAGGTTAATTTAATGGTGAATAGATAAACGTAGTTTAGAAGGTTGGTAAAATTGTTCCGAGAGTCCAGTGTTGTTCTTGTATGTAGACAGACGTGTGAGACTCTCAAGCAGACAAACCAGTGCCATTCGTTCTTTAACAAGAGGAACGCGGTGTGGAAATGTAAGTTCGTAGTTGTCAA